AGAATTGTGTCAACTGACATTTAATGTGGATAAGTGCAAGATAATGCATCTTGGACGTAAAAACCCAAGGGCAGAGTACAGAATATTTGATAGAGTCCTAACCTCAACATATGAGGAAAGGGATTTAGGGGTGATTATTGCTGATGACTTAAAGGTAGGCAGACAATGTAATAGAGCAGCAGGAAATGCTAGCAGAATGCTTGGTTCTATAGGGAGAGATATTAGCAGTAGAAAGAGGGAAGTGCTCATGCCATTGTACAGAACACTGGTGAGACCTCACTTGGAGTATTGTACACAGTACTGGAGACCGTATCTTCAGAAGGATATTGATACCTTAGAGAGGGTCCAGAGAAGGGCTACTAAACTGGTTGATGGATTGCGGGATAAAACTTACCAGGAAAAGTTAAAGGATCTTAACATGTATAGCTTGGAGGAAAGACGAGACAGGGGGGATATGATAGAAACATTTGAATATATAAAGGGAATCAACACAGTAAAGGAGGAGACTATATTTAAAAGAAGAAAAACTACCACAACAAGAGGACATAGTCTTAAATTAGAGGGACAAAGGTTTAAAAGTAATATCAGGAAGTATTACTTTACTGAGAGGGTAGTGGATGCATGGAATAGCCTTCCAGCTGAAGTGGTAGAGGTTAACACAGTAAAGGAGTTTAAGCATGCGTGGGATAGGCATAAGGCTATCCTAACTATAAGATAAGACTAGGGACCAATGAAAGTATTTAGAAAATTGGGCAGACAAACATGTTTCTATGTTTCTATGTATTTGCTACTGTGGCTATAAATCACATCTGCAGTGGTTGTGATTGCTTAAGCTTGACTGCTAGGACACGTTTGGAATTAAAAATGCCAAAAATATTGATGAAAACATCATAAATGTGTGAATATAATTACAATGACATCATTAATGGCGTATCAGTCATTATTAGAGAATCAAGGGCAAATTACATGTGTCTGCTTTTTTTCTCAGTAGGAGAATGTGATGCAATAGTGTGATTTTAAACATATTAAAATATAAAACATGTACTAAGTTTCTTTTATGTAATTAAAAAATAGATTTCTTAACTGAGACAGTAAGTATAATGTAAGTATACATATTACAGCTGTATGAGTGCCATCTAGGAGATGTATTGTGTACTGCATGGGTTGGAAACATGCAGCTCAATCATTGAATTGCAATTTTACAATAAATAAATAGCAGAACTATTTTTCACATAATCCTTTTAATTGACTGTATCACATTAACAAGACTACAATTATTCAGCAAACAGATAAAATGTTTTGCCTCATCTCACTTCATTTTATACTCTATTAATTTTGTGATCGTTAATAAATAATTGTTTCTCTCGTTAATTTTCTACAGATGCTTTTAGATATCTGTATGCACAATGGCGATGGGTATGATAATAAAGAAGAGTCCTCTGAGATTCAGAGTACAGTGCATGGGTTTTACACATTTTAGGGTCTTATGCATTTATTTGTGTATATATATATATATATATATATATATATATATATATATATACACTGAAAAAGAGAAACGGATGTAGAGACACCTAAGGGTTAAATCGATCAGTCCCAGAGGTTCACTACATTAGTAAAGCAACCCAAAAGAAAATATAAAATTTAACTTTTAATGGAATCCCTGGTAAAATAGCAAAAAATATATAAAGTAAAGAAATCCCTGCTAGTAGACAGCTAAATAAACAAAGAAAAGGAGAGAGCTCAGAGGATAAATAATAGCACAGAGAGAAAGAGGAATCCTAAAGGATCAAAATGAATCCAAATGTATCTATAAGAGAAGGTGATACAAATCTCTGTCTCTCTGTAAGCAGGCTAATCCTGTGGGTAACAGCCCTCAATGGTCTGAATGGTTACATAGCTATCTATATGTAACACAAGTAGTCTCTAATAGAGGTTCGCCAAATAAATGTAGTAGTCTAAAAGCTAAAAATCTGGAGAGGGTAGTCAAACAGGAGCATCATACACGAGTAATTCAAATAGCTATAGCATAGTCCCTAATCTAGCTCCAACCACCCGCTCGCTGTACTAATCCCTGACGCGCGTTTCGCCACACTGGCTCTTCTGAGGGAACCGAGCTGAACGCCGGCAGTCATTTAAAAAGGCCGCCCTCCCCGATGATTGGTCTAAGTTACACCAATCGCGGGCGAGGGGGCGGAGACAAATAACGGTGCCGGTTGCACCCTAATCAGAGTGAAAACCGGCACGGATTGGAAAATCATAATTAAATGTTTATGTTCAAATAAATCCAAAAAGGATTGGTAGACATAAGAGTCATGAATGAGGTAAAGTTAAATAAAATATGTAAAGGAGTGCAACCGGACTTCACAAACCTTATAAACCTTATAGATCAACAAGTATACTAAGTTGTTAAAGTGTAGCAAATAATAGATACACATAAGCCCTAACAAACACCATAGAGAATGGTGAGAGAGTGATATGCATTAGAATTGAATCTAATATTTGATGTAAGGTGCAATGGGTCCAGAGAGCAAGCTTAACGGATCAAGTCCTTAGTGAAGGAAAGAAGGTATTAATAAAAGGTGGGAAACTTAGTGAAATGCTGGGTTACAATCCCAAAGGAGTGTAAATAACTGTATCTTGAGGGATCTATTTGTGAATAAATGGAGTGAAATTGAACTCCTCATTCAGTCCCTTGGGATATAACGTTTGGAACAGATAAATCCAGCGGGACTCGGCTTTGAGTAATGCAATGTTAATATCGCCTTTCCTGTGGTTTTGGAAGACCTTTTGTATTACTTGAAATTTAAGTACATTGGGTCTGGACTCATGGTTCAGACGTACGTGTCTCGCTATAGGAGTGTCCATATGTGGATTTAGAATTGAATTGATGTGTTGCAAGACACGTCGACGTAATTGTTGGTAGGTCTTACCAATATACTGTAGTCCACAGTCACAAGTGATTATGTAAATGACATTAGTGGAACCACAGTTAATAAAGGAATTCACCTCTATATCTTTCCCAGTTTTTTGGTTTCGTACTTTTTTAGATGGTAAAATAAACTTGCAGGCTTTACAATGCCCACATCTGAAGAGGCCTTTGGTCTCAAGCCAAGTTGGCTTAGTTGGTGATGGTTTCATATGGCTGTGAGTTAGTAGATCTGCAAGGTTTTTAGCTCTACGGTACGTTAAGGAGGGTTTATTGGTAATAGTATTCTTAATGAATGTGTCATATTGAAGTAGTGGCCAGTTGCGATTGAACACCTGTAAGGTATTATTCCAATTTTTGTCGTAGGTCCCAATGAGTCTGGTGCACCCAGCAGTAGATTGAATAATCTTGGGGGGTTTGTGTAGGCTCTCAGAGCGGTCAACAATTTTGGTTCTTTGGTAGGCTTTTTTGAGGATACGGTTCGGATACCCTAGGTTTTTGAATCTCTGTCTGAGAATTTTTGCTTCTTTTTCATAGTCTTCAGGATTGGAACAGTTTCTTTTCGCCCTAAGGTATTGGCCATAGGGTATATTGGCCTTAACATGAAATGGATGAAAACTGTCCCAGTGTAATAGACTATTCGTAGCAGTTGGTTTTCTGTATAATGAGGTGGCTATCGATCCATCCTCTGCCAGAGCTATTGTGAGATCCAGAAACACTAGGTGACTCTCATGTATAACATGAGTGAGTTGAAGATTTATTTGATTGATATTTAAAGCATCTACCATATCTTTGAAGAGTGAAAAAGAGCCTAACCAAAATATTAGCACATCGTCAATGTAACGAAACCATTTAAAAATTGACGAAGTGTACATAGCGTAGGTATTAGTAAACACAATGGTTTCTTCCCACCAACCCAAGAAAAGATTAGCATAGCTGGGTGCACACGAAGAACCCATAGCAGTCCCCCGTAGTTGTAAATAATATTTACCGTTAAAAGTGAAGTAATTATGAGTAAGAACAAATTGTAACAGGAGCAAAATGAACTCCTGTTCCTGTGCTTTGAAAGTATTGGTTTTTTCCAAAAAGTAGGCTACCGCTGCTAGGCCCTTATCGTGTGGAATGTTATTATACAAGGCCACTACATCCAAACTTGCCAGGGATGTGTAAGGGGGCACAGTAAGGTGTTCCAGGGCTAGGAGTGTTTGTTTGGTGTCCCGTATGTGTGATTTTAATCCTATCACCAGAGGCTGTAGTAACTTGTCCAGGAATTGGCTTGCCCTCTCTGTTAGGCAATGATTGCCTGAAACAATTGGCCTACCGGGGGGATTCTGGAGGTCCTTATGTATTTTAGGGAGACAGTAAAAGGTGGCAACAGTGATATTGGACTGGGAAACAATAAATCTAGACTCATTTTGGGTGATGACATTATCAGTGCAAGCTTTCTGTACTAAAGATTGCAGTTCCAACAAGAACTTTTTAGTGGGGTCATCCTTCAGTACCTGATAGGTCATTTCGTCCGTAAGGTGTTGCATACACATATTTACATATTTGTCTCTTTGCATGAGGACAATGTTCCCTCCTTTATCCGATGATTTTAAAACCACATCAGTTGCCAATTTAAGTTCTTGTAAGGCCTGTCTCTCTTCTCTTTTAAGATTAGAGGATTGGGGTAATAAAGAAGTTTGGTTCTCTAATTCGTTAGTACAAACCTGTACAAATAAATCAATGCATGGAAACTCCTTCAGGTTAGGAGTAAACCAACTTGGAGGTTTAAAGTTAGTCAGAGAATCTAATGTGTTTTGTTCAGAGTGTAAATCCATGAGTAACTTGAAAAGTTCACTATCTTCTGGTGAAAGGCCTAGGTCTTTGAGTTTTTTCTGATTGATTTTCTCATGTAAAGCGTGTAAGGCCAATTTCCGGCCAAACAGGTTCACATCTTTGGCCCAATCAAACTGATTAGTAGAGGGTGTAGGAATGAAGGAAAGGCCTTTTTGGAGAAGTGATATGTGTCTTCGCTTTAAGGTAAAATTTGAAAGATTTATTATTTTGTTATCCTGTGTTGTGACACCTATTGGAAGTTGGGCTTCTGTGTTTTGTAACCCCATCTGTTCCTGTCTCTTAGTCTCTCCCTTTGTGGTTGCGGCCAATCCTGATCTAAAAAAGTCAGTGGTGATTGGGTAGGTCCTGCAGTGGATTCATGTCTTGGGTTTGTAATGACAGTAGGATCCACTGGGGGGTCCATGAATGTTATATTTCTATCTGTGTTTCTCAGAATACCTTTGGTCTGCCCTGAGGGTGTATGCTGAGTGACACGGGTATTCTGCCTCTTTAGGTAACGAGGTCTAGATTCTGATTCTGACCACTCGGTCTCATCTGATGAAGAAAAACCTTTGGTATGTGTTTTATTAGTATTAAACCTCCTTTTATTTTTATTTTTAAAGACATTGCCTTCCTGAAAGTCCCTATAGTCCCTTTGAAATTTGTAGTGTTTTTTCTGTCTGATGTTTCTTTTAAAGTTCTCTAAGTTTTTGCTTAGCTTGTTCTCCATGGCTGAAAAGCTTGGTTCTTTGTCAAAGGTTCTAATTTTCTTTATTTCAATATCTAATTCCTCATTGGTTTTCTCTAGGCTTTGTTGTTCCAACTGAATTAAGAAATGCATAATTTTGGCCGAGCATTCCAGAAGAATGGAATTCCATTCTGCTAGCTGCTCCTCCGTCTTGACTTTGTCAGGTAATAGAATATCTGGTCTGAGGCCTCTGGGTACTAGTTTTTGTTCAATATAGTGTCTCAGACTGGCTAGTTCCCAAAACCCCCTTAATTGCATTTGATATAGCTTTTGTATTGCAAAGAATGCCTGATTTATATCCTTGGGTTCATTAGATGTATTGCCCAAGGGTTTGTTAGAAAATACATTTGCCACATCTTCTGATGAGAAGTCCGGATGTACAACCTGTTCTAAGAAATCTGTCATCATAAACCTATTTCTAGGAATAGTCACTACAGGATGTCTTATGAAATCTTAAATAAACTGTAGGTATATAGTAAGACAAAACTCCCTGTCCTAAACTTTGGTATTGAAACCTAATAAGAAACTTCGAAGTTAGAAAAAAATTAGGAACAGGGGTAAAGAATCGGGTTGCTGGTAAGGTATGGGGGATAACCCCTAGTAACTAATACAAAACTGAAAAAGAAGCAAAAATTCTCAGACAGAGATTCAAAAACCTAGGGTATCCGAACCGTATCCTCAAAAAAGCCTACCAAAGAACCAAAATTGTTGACCGCTCTGAGAGCCTACACAAACCCCCCAAGATTATTCAATCTACTGCTGGGTGCACCAGACTCATTGGGACCTACGACAAAAATTGGAATAATACCTTACAGGTGTTCAATCGCAACTGGCCACTACTTCAATATGACACATTCATTAAGAATACTATTACCAATAAACCCTCCTTAACGTACCGTAGAGCTAAAAACCTTGCAGATCTACTAACTCACAGCCATATGAAACCATCACCAACTAAGCCAATTAGTGGAACCACAGTTAATAAAGGAATTCACCTCTATATCTTTCCCAGTTTTTTGGTTTGTAAAGCCTGCAAGTTTATTTTACCATCTAAAAAAGTACGAAACCAAAAAACTGGGAAAGATATAGAGGTGAATTCCTTTATTAACTGTGGTTCCACTAATGTCATTTACATAATCACTTGTGACTGTGGACTACAGTATATTGGTAAGACCTACCAACAATTACGTCGACGTGTCTTGCAACACATCAATTCAATTCTAAATCCACATATGGACACTCCTATAGCGAGACACGTACGTCTGAACCATGAGTCCAGACCCAATGTACTTAAATTTCAAGTAATACAAAAGGTCTTCCAAAACCACAGGAAAGGCGATATTAACATTGCATTACTCAAAGCCGAGTCCCGCTGGATTTATCTGTTCCAAACGTTATATCCCAAGGGACTGAATGAGGAGTTCAATTTCACTCCATTTATTCACAAATAGATCCCTCAAGATACAGTTATTTACACTCCTTTGGGATTGTAACCCAGCATTTCACTAAGTTTCCCACCTTTTATTAATACCTTCTTTCCTTCACTAAGGACTTGATCCGTTAAGCTTGCTCTCTGGACCCATTGCACCTTACATCAAATATTAGATTCAATTCTAATGCATATCACTCTCTCACCATTCTCTATGGTGTTTGTTAGGGCTTATGTGTATCTATTATTTGCTACACTTTAACAACTTAGTATACTTGTTGATCTATAAGGTTTATAAGGTTTGTGAAGTCCGGTTGCACTCCTTTACATATTTTATTTAACTTTACCTCATTCATGACTCTTATGTCTACCAATCCTTTTTGGATTTATTTGAACATAAACATTTAATTATGATTTTCCAATCCGTGCCGGTTTTCACTCTGATTAGGGTGCAACCGGCACCGTTATTTGTCTCCGCCCCCTCGCCCGCGATTGGTGTAACTTAGACCAATCATCGGGGAGGGCGGCCTTTTTAAATGACTGCCGGCGTTCAGCTCGGTTCCCTCAGAAGAGCCAGTGTGGCGAAACGCGCGTCAGGGATTAGTACAGCGAGCGGGTGGTTGGAGCTAGATTAGGGACTATGCTATAGCTATTTGAATTACTCGTGTATGATGCTCCTGTTTGACTACCCTCTCCAGATTTTTAGCTTTTAGACTACTACATTTATTTGGCGAACCTCTATTAGAGACTACTTGTGTTACATATAGATAGCTATGTAACCATTCAGACCATTGAGGGCTGTTACCCACAGGATTAGCCTGCTTACAGAGAGACAGAGATTTGTATCACCTTCTCTTATAGATACATTTGGATTCATTTTGATCCTTTAGGATTCCTCTTTCTCTCTGTGCTATTATTTATCCTCTGAGCTCTCTCCTTTTCTTTGTTTATTTAGCTGTCTACTAGCAGGGATTTCTTTACTTTATATATTTTTTGCTATTTTACCAGGGATTCCATTAAAAGTTAAATTTTATATTTTCTTTTGGGTTGCTTTACTAATGTAGTGAACCTCTGGGACTGATCGATTTAACCCTTAGGTGTCTCTACATCCGTTTCTCTTTTTCGGTTTTGTATTAGTTACTAGGGGTTATCCCCCATACCTTACCAGCAACCCGATTCTTTACCCCTGTTCCTAATTTTTTTCTAACTTCGATATATATATACACTGCTCAAAAAAATAAAGGGAACACTTAAACAACACAATGTAACTCCAAGTCAATCACACTTCTGTGAAATTAAACTGTCCACTTAGGAAGCAACACTGAGTTACAAACAGTTTCACATGATGTTGTGCAAATGGGATAGACAACAGGTGGAAATTATAGGCAATTAGCAAGACACCCCCAATAAAGGAGTGGTTCTGCAGGTGGTGACCACAGACCACTTCTCAGTTCCTATGCTTCCTGGCTGATGTTTTGGTCACTTTTGAATGCTGGCGTGCTTTCACTCTAGTGGTAGCATGAGACGGAGTCTACAACCCACACAAGTGGCTCAGGTAGTGCAGCTCATCCAGGATGGCACATCAATGCGAGCTGTGGCAAGAAGGTTTGCTGTGTCTGTCAGCCTAGTGTCCGCAGCATGGAGGCGCTACCAGGAGACAGGCCAGTACATCAGGAGACGTGGAGGAGGCCGTAGGAAGCAACAACCCAGCAACAGGACTGCTACCTCCGCCTTTGTGCAGAGAGGAACAGGAGGAGCACTGCCAGAGCCCTGAAAAATGACCTCCAGCAGGCCACAAATGTGCATGTGTTTGCTCAAACGGTCAGAAACAGACTCCATGAGGGTGGTATGAGTGCCCAACGTCCACAGGTGGGGGTTGTGCTTACAGCCACTGGTGCCCTGTGTGCTTCACAGATGAAAGCAGGTTCACACTGAGCACACGTGACAGACGTGACAGAGTCTGGAGATGCCGTGGAGAATGTTCTGCTGCCTGCAACATCCTCCAGCATGACCAGTTTGGCAGTGGGTCAGTAATGGTGTGGGGTGGCATTTCTTTGGGGGCCCGCACAGCCCTCCATGTGCTCGCCAGAGGTAGCCTGACTGCCATTAGGTACCGACATGAGATCCTCAGACCCCTTGTGAGACCATATACTGGTGCGGTTGGCCCTGTGTTCCTCCTAATGCAAGACAATGCTAGACCTCATGTGGCTGGAGTGTGTCAGCAGTTCCTGCAAGACAAAGGCATTGGTGCTATGGACTGGCTCGCCTGTTCCCCAGACCTGAATCCAATTGAGCACATCTGGGACATCATGTCTCACTCCATCCACCAACGTCACGTTGCACCACAGACTGTCCAGGAGTTGGCAGATGCTTTAGTCCAGGTCTGGGAGGAGATCCCTCAGAAGACCATCCGCCACCTCATCAGGAGTATGCACAGGCATTGTAGGGAGGTCATACAGGCACGTGGAGGCCACACACACTACTGAGCCTCATTTTGACTTGTTTTAAGGACATTACATCAAAGTTGGATAAGCCTGTAGTGTGGGCTTCCACTTTAATTTTGAGTGTGACTCCAAATCCAGACCTCCATGGGTTGAAAAATTTGATTTCCATTTTTTTATTTTTGTGTGATTTTGTTGTCAGCACATTCAACTATGTACAGAACAAAGTATTTCAGAAGAATATTTAATTCATTCAGATCTAGGATGTATTATTTTTGTGTTCCCTTTATTTTTTGAGCAGTGTGTGTGTGTGTGTGTGTGTGTGTGTGTGTATGTATGTATGTATGTATGTATGTATGTGTGTGTGTGTGTGTGTGTGTGTGTATATATATATATATATATATATATATATATATACACACATACATACATACATACATACATACATACATACATACATACATACATACATATACACACACATACAGACATATATATAGTGACAAGATGGCCAGGCTCTTGACTATAAACTTCAAATGCAAGTGTCAGGATAAAATAGTATTGCAGTTTATTTGCACTTTCCACAGAGTATACAATGCTGTGATTCACAGAAATAAATAAAACAAAAAGAATATAAATCGTACTCCAACTTGGAGAGTTACTAAACAAAAATATTCCTAACTATCCAACTGGCCAGCTCATCTAGTTCCCAGTTTTAAACAGTTTAACCAAATCACTTTAACCCCTTAGTGACCAGACCGTTTTTCAATTTGATTACCGTGTGTCACGTATTCATCCGCTTATAAAAATGTGGTTAATGACATTTACTGTCCACACTGGAAAAGTTGTGCCGAGCAGCAACCTACTCCACAGAAGGGTTAATGCTGAGAAGCAATTATGCAAATGGAAACCTGGTAACTGACTTTGGGGTCAAAGGCCGGTTACAGCCTATCAGAAAGAAAGGAGGGGTATTTAGGCCCAGTTCTCATCCTGATCAGTGCCCTGTCCCTTGTGGTTGTCCCTGCTGGCAGCACTATGGACACCTATGGAGGAGGGACTGTCTGGGCTGTCAGACAGTCCCCCCCATAGAAGAAGAAGACCGATAGCTGGTGGGGGAATGTCGGTGATCAGTAAGTACATGGGAGAGGGAGGGGGAGGGAAGGGGTTAATTTTTTTGTAATTTAATTTTTTAATTTTTATCTTTATTTTTTTTCCCGAGAGGCACTCAGTACAGCTAGAGAGTCAAGCCTGCATGATGGCTTCCGATGCTCTGCACTACGCTGCCAGGCGCCACGTGGGGCAACCCGGAAGGGATCGTTCCGGGGGAGCGATCACTCGGGGTCCCGGCAGTGGGTGGGGGTATTGCGTGATGGGGTTAAACGTCCACAGTCGCAATGGGGTTAAACATACAGGTTTTTCCACAGTATCTTTTCCTTTAGCTTCTTTGGCTTAACTGCCTCCTTTCTCCCAGCTGTTAGACACCCCGATGCCTTCAGAGGCTGACCTTTTAAAACACTAGTGCAGGCTAATTACAT